ATGTCCAGCCACAGCACGTCGTAGGGGATGTTGTGGGCGTCAAAGCCGCCGTCCACGGCCGCCACGTCTGTGCCGCACCGCGAGGGAGGGAGGGAGGGAGGGAGGGAGGCAGGGGGAGGTGGGCGGCGCAGGAACCAAGTGAGGGGAGTGTGCGCCGGCGGCGGCAGCAAGCAACCACGCGTGTTGCTGCAGGCGCCGCCGCAGCTGCAGCTCGGCCAGCCGCGGCGCAGAGGCTGCCGCAGACGCTGCGCTGCTGCCGGCACACCACCGTCGCCCCCGCCCCGGCCCTCACCCTGCTCGTCCTTGTAGTTCCAGCGGCACTGGTGGTAGCCCAGCGCAAACATCTGGGGCAGGGCGGAGCCGCCGGTGAGCGCCGCCATCTGGCGCGCCACGTCAGCGGGGCGCGGCCCCACAAACACAAACACATCCACCACGCCGCTCTCGGCCAGCCACTGCGTGGACGCGCCGCCCTCGTCCTGGCTCACATCAACGTACATCTCCGCAGCATTCAGCCTGCGGGCAGCCAGGGGGAGGGGTGGGGTGGTGAGGGGTTGCGAGGGGGGCAGGGAGGCAGCCAGCAGGGCACGAAATGAGCCTGCTGGTTTGCCGCGCTGCGGGCCCACGCATTCCATCTCCCAATCAAGCAGCGCCTGCCTCTGTGGCTCCTCCAGCAACGGCCGCAGGGGCACACGCACCAGAACACGCCCACAGTCTGCTCCGGGCGGTGTGCCAGCATGAGCGGAATGGCGCCGTAGAGGCCAAAGGGGGAGTCGTGCAGGTACTCAAACACGTCCAGGTTGTACAGGCGGTACGGCTCTGCGGTACGGGCAGGCAGCACGGGGGGCACGGGCACGAGCACTGAGCAAGGCAGGCAGCGCACAAGCGGGCTGGCATCTCCAGCACTTTGGGGGTGTCGCACGGCGCCCACCATAGCCCAGAAGGGCGCGGGGCAGCAGGCGGCCGACGGGCGGCGGCGCGGCATGCGCGGGGTCGCACCCGACAGCGGGCCCTCGGGGCCGCGCGTGGGCTGCAGCGCCAGGCTGCTGGCGCGCTCGGGCAGCCCGTACAGGTGGCGGGTGCCCGGGAAGTGGACGTCAAAGGAGATGGCGGCGGGGCCCTTGGGCTTGCTGTCGTGGTGGGTCTTAAAGTTTTCAGCCCACCACCCCTCGGGGTCCCCCTCCTGCTGCTCCCGCAGGTGCTCAAAGATGAACTGCTTGCCGGCGTTCCACACGAGCGCGGGCGTGCCGCCCACGCTGACCTCCAGCTGAGCGGGGCTGGTGCGCAGCTCGGCCTCGGCCGCGCCGCAGCGCACGCGCAGCTTGGTGTGGCTCTTCTTCACCACCTCCCAGGCCTGTGGCGGGCGGGGGCGTGATTGTGGGGAGGGGAGGCCAGAGAATGAGCGAGGGAGCAGCGCATGGGCCCAGTGGAGGATTCATGGGCTGCACACATGCTGAGGCGGATCGTGCCCGACACATCATGAGCCCAATGCACCGGCGCTGACATAACGGACTGCCTGCAAGCAGCAGCGATCCAGCAGGCGCAGCGCGCCCAGCCAGCCGCGCCCCGCCCGCGCGCCACCCACCTGCTCCCGCTGCTCCAGCCCCGGCAACAGCACGTCTGGCACCTGCCAGCGGCCCTTCTCGGGCGCCTCGTCGATGAACAGGCGCAGGGTGTCGCCGTATGCGGTGAGCACCAGGGAGAAGGTGCCGTTCGCGTTCTGCGTGTTTTGGACGGTGGCGGTGACCCGCGCCCCCTCCACCTTGACCGAGTCTGGCAGCAGCACAAACGCCTCGCTGGTGTTGCCTCGCAGGCGCTTGCAGAAGGCCGCATCCTCGCACTTCTGAATGAGGCAGGCAGCGATCGGCAAGGGGGCGGTGCATGGGCCCGGGGCCGGTGGGCGGGCAGAGCACGGCTGCCGATTCACGCAGCACTGCCGATGGCTCGAGGGGGCGACCCGCTGGCCCCACCTTGAACTCCTCCGCCTTGAAGCCCTGCACGGTGGCCACCGCCGACGCTAGGAGCAGCAGCAGCACTGCCGCGCCTCTACTCATATCCACACCGTCAACTACACCCAAGAAAATGATCCCCGTTGCCCCCCGCTATCACAGGGTGATCGGCAGAAGGCACTCCCCTGCCGGCTAGAGCCAACACGCCTGCACTTGGATTCAGCCAGTCGCTCGATGTGCTGGAGGCGATTGCACATTCCGTGTGCAGGAGGGAGATGCTGTACAGCGCAGTACAGGCGGTGAGCCGCTACGGACGGCGGCCGCCAGTGTTGGGCACCCAGCACAGTGATGCCAGAATGCGGCCAGTCCAGAAGATCGATCCATGCACAATTTGGACACTGTAACCTGGTGCCGGCTGCCTCTCAACTTGCAACACACGATGCCCAAGCCTGTTCTCGTGATTGTCGTCCGCAGGTGGTGACGCCGTTGTGCAGGGGTTGCAGCGGCATGGCATGGACAGGGTATCAGTGAATGGGCAGTGAAAACAATGGAGAACAGTGTTGGTGAGTCTGTACAAAACTGAGGTGGATTCGTTCTGGGGAAGAAAACAACCGGGGGGGAGTGCAGAGGCCACAGGCGAGGATGGAGGGAAGGGAATCAGATAAACAGGCAGGAGCGGGAAAAGGTGGCTGGCTTAGCACATTATCATCACAGCGGCTGCGTTGTGTCATACTCGGGGAGGGTAGGCTTGACGCCGGCTGCAGCGCGCTCCCGCTTCTGCCGCAGCTGCCGCACTGCCGCCTCCTCCCACCCGGCATCGGGCCGGCGGTCGAAGCTTATGAGCGGCGGACGCAGCGGCAACGCACCGGTGGGGTCGGTGGCTGGCAGGTGGCAGGCGGGGGAGTCGTGGAGCTGCGGCAGCTGTACCGCCGCGTCGCACAGGCCTGCAGCAGGCGTGATAGCACGTTGGCGTGCCTGGCCATGCAGCATGGGGTGCCAGGGACGCAGCCGTCTCCTGCCCAACGCCTGCCCTACAGGCTGCATCTTTCCCCACCCCACCCCAGCCAATCCCACGCACCCGCACACACGGGCATGTCATACACAGCCAGCGAGGATGCTGTGCAGTTGGTCTCGCACAGCCGCCGGTCGTCGTAGTGTGTGGCATTGAAGGCGAGCAGCCAGCTGCCAATGGTAACGTCTGCATGGGCAGGGCAGGGAAGGGGCACTGAAGGGCGTCAGCGCAACGGCCGTCCCCGTGCGCGTCTGATGATGCTCAGAGGCCGCGAGCAACAGCAAAGCTGCCCGCCGCACCTTCGTTGGCAAAGTGCCGCAGGCTGCCGTCCCTCATGGCAGCAAGATCCAGCGCCACGCGCCCGCTTAGCACGTACACGCTGCCCCAGGCGTGGGTGAAATAGGAGGCACCGCCCAGTACCGCGTGTTGGGGCTCATACCAACGGTACCGTGGGCTCTTGATGATCTGCCCAGTCTTCATGCACCCCACATAGTCTGCGGGGGTGGCAGGGGCAACGGCTGGCTCAGCAGAGCAAGGCTGGGAATGGGCACATGCCTGCTCAGCTGATGCCAAGCTTGACAGGCTGGGCAGCGGGTGAGCGCACAAACGGCAGGCAGACAGCGGATCAAGGCCGCAGCCCACCTGCGCGGATGTCGTGCCACTGCTGCACCGCGTGCGGCAGGCGGTCCAGACGCAGGTACACATCGTCGTCTATTTTCACAATGTACTGCGGATCGTACTGCGTCGTGACGGCCTGCACATGGGAAGGCCTAAATGTGGGCGTGGCATGCTCGAGTGCCCTGGGGGGAGCCGGCGGGACCTGCCAGCTTGCAGCGCACCCGCAGGAACGCCAGGGTCTTTGTGGGGAGGTTGGCGTAGCCTTCAGTCAGGTTGAGGCGCACGAAGTCGCGGTGCTGCGCCTCCTCCGCGTTCAGGGCGGCCTCCTGCTCTGCGTCGGCCGAGTGGCCAATCACAAAGCGCACCAGGATGCGCTGCTCCCCCTGCAGCCTGCGCCGGCATCCCGTGGCAGCAGCGGCGCGCCTGTCAAGAGGCAGCGAGCCAGCCGCAGCGCAGCACCGTGAGGTTGTCGGCCTGGCAGCACAGCGCTGCGGCGGGCTGTACGGGCGCAGGTGCAAGCCGCCGCCGCACCTGTCTAGCTCTTGCTGGCTGCTGGGCAGCCAGGTGGCCCTCAGCGCCTTGCGTCGTGCCTCGTAATTGTACTTGGCCTGAGAATCCGTGGTGAAGCCAGTCTGCGCCGCAAGTGGTGGCAGCGAAGGGACGGGGCTGCAGCGGCGGCACAGCACGCTGCAGCAGGTGGCGGGAGGCGGCGGCGGCGGCGGCGGCGGCGGCGGCGGCGGCGGCGGCGGCGGCAATCCCACCTGCACCCCCACGAATGCCACGATCTCTTCTCGCTGCCGATCCCGGCCGTTTGCGCGCCCCCGCCAGCCCTCCAAGGCACCCTGTCCCGCTTCCTGGTCAAATGTGTTGGCGAGGCAGGGCGTGCGTGAGGTGGTGATCAAGGTGCTGATCACCCACCCCACACCGATCCCGAGCGCCATGGCGGCCACTTGACCCATCGCCGGGGCCTGGCGCCTTGGATGGTTGGGCCCCGGCCTCCCACCGGCAGCATATAATGCAGGCATGCGTTTGGGATCGCCAGAGGGGCACGGGCAGGGGTGGCGCTAACTCCCCTGTTGTCCACCACGACTTTGCCAAAGCACGCAGCAGGCAAAAGGTCCGTTTCTCATCCCGGCGTCCCGAGCCCCTCCTACACTCTTCCCGTGCCAATGTACTAGCCCTGCAAGCCCAAAATGTACACCACTAGCGCTTTCACGGGCTGCCCCGGCCCACCCCCCGGGTTCTACTCGCCGTGCGGGCCCCTGGCCTCGCTCAACACCGCCCCCAGCTCAGACTCCAGCGGCGGAAGCTGGGGCGGGGCCTCCTGGAGCGGGGAGGACAGCCTGGGCGTGCCCAGCCGGACCTGCTCGGCGCCGCTCGGCCTGGCCTCCCTGCGCCTCCAATCCCTCAACCTCGATGACCCAAGTCTGCTAGAAAAGGTGGGAGGCGCTCCGGCTGCCCGTGCAGGCCGCGCTGGAGATGGGAAGACTGGGCAGAGATGGGCGACCGGGCCAGCGGGCCCACGCTGCCCCGCGGAACCGCCAAGGCTGGATCTTGGCCCGCTTCCCACCCCTCCCCGCCAAACCCTCGCCGCAGGCCGCCTCCCTGGGCCTCCCTCAACCTGTCGGACCTGGCACGGGCCCCGTGCCCACCATGAGCGTGGGCTGGGGCGGGGCCCCTCTGCAGCAGCAGCAGCAGCAGGCCCAGGCGCCGCCGCAACGCTTCAGGCAGCAGCAGCAGGAGGAGGGCAGCTACCAGGGCGGCCCCCACGGCTACGGTCCCGCCGGGCCCGGCTTTCAGCGCGCGCGCAGCGGCGGCGGCAACGCCCGCGGCCGCTCCCCACAGCAGGCAGCCCTGCCGCCGCATCAGCAACGCCAGAACGCGCACGCGGGCCGCCAGAACACGCACGCGGGCGACCCGCGGCAAAAGAACCAGGGCTACCGCCGCCTGTGGCAGCAAGTCACCCAGGTGCGCGGCGGCGGCGACGAGGGACGCATGCCTTGCGCCGCCGCGCCTCCCCTGCTTGGCTGGCGCGACTTGCAGCCGGCCGCGTGCTGCCGGGCCGCCCCGCTGCGCCACCATGCCTGCCGCCTGCCCTCTGGCACGCCTCCCGGCCTAGGGTTGGGTGCAGATAGGCCCGATTTGCCGTCGCCGCGCCGCCGCTGCCACCCCTCGGCTCGTCCGCCCTCCCCGTGCCCGCCTGCTGCGCCTTGCTGCTCTCCCATCTGGCCAGCCCGGTGGCTGACACACGCCGCTCTGCGCTGCACGTGCGGCGGGGGTGCAGGTGGGGCGCGGCCAGCGGCTGGGTGACCACGAGGGCTCCGCCTTCTCCGAGATGACGGTGGAGGATCTGCTGGAGGTGTGGCTGCCTCAGCTGGCTGGGCCTGGGCCCGCACACGCGCACGCAGCAGCCGCGCGCAGCGCACAGCGCGCCCTGTACAGCACGCGCCAAGGCAGCTGGCCGGGGTGCAACTGCCGCCTGCTGCGGCTGGCAGGAAGGGCTTGCGACCCCGCGGGCGCCCAGCCCGCCTGCCTGCTCACACGCCGCGTGCCTGCGCGCGTGCCTGCCTGTGCCTGGGCGCAGGTGGTGCGCCGCCTGCCCCCCGAGGCGTCTGCGGTGAAGGCCATCGGCCAGGGGCTCTACTACTTTGACAGCGGCGCGCTGGCGGCGCTGCTCAAGGAGCTGAACAAGAGCGGGCACGTGCGGCGCGCGCAGGAGGTGCGCACGCTGCAGCTCCGTCAGCGCTGCCGCTCTGTGCCCGCGTCGGCGCGCCGCCTGCCTGCTCTCTGGCTGCTGGGCAGCTGCCGCCGTGGCCGGTACCCCCCCACGCTCCTCTGCCCACCGCCCCTCCCCCCCGCCGCCCCCGCCCCCACACGCAGCTCTTTGACTGGCTGCGCGGCCTGGACGACTCCCACGACCTCTACCCGCTGTGCAACACCATGACCTACACCACCATGATCTCGCAGTGCGGCACCCAGCAGCAGCTCCGTCGCGCGCTGGAGCTGGTGGCGGAGATGCGCAGCCGCGGCATACAGTGCAACGTCCACACCTACTCCGCCCTCATGAATGTGTGCATCAAGGGTGAGCGCGGTGGCAGCAGCCCGGCGGCGCCGTGCCGAGATGCGGCAGCCTGTCCGGCACGCGCGTGCATGCGCTTGCACCGCTGGCGGTGACCTCGGCCACCCACCCCTTGCTGCCCGCCCCCAGTCGGCTCACCCCGCCCCTCTCTGCCCCCACCACCACACCCCGGTACTGCCCCAGGCAACGAGCTGGACCTGGCGCTGGATGTCTATCGCCAGATGCTGGCCGAGGGGTGCACCCCCAACCTTGTCACCTACAACACCCTCATCGACGTGTACGGCAAGACGGGGGCCTGGGAGGAGGCGATCCGCGTGCTGGACGCGCTGGAGCGGCAGGGCATCGACCCCGAGATACGCACCTACAACACGGGTGAGGCGGGGGCGCGACTAGTGGCCCTGGAGCAAGCGCCTGGGGCCCGGCTGCATGTGTCCATGCTGGCAGCAGCGTGTGATGCCCTGCACGGCCACGCCCACGGCGTCTGCCCTCCAGCCGGCGCACGTCCCTGCAAGGCTGACCCTGCTGCCTCCCTGCCTTCCTGCCCTCCTCCCTCCTCCCCCTCTCCCCGCAGTCATCATCGCGTGCAACATGAGCGGGCAGGCCCAGGAGGCGCTGCGCATCTACGAGCGCATGCTGGCGGCGGGGGCGCAGCCCACCGCCACCACCTACACCGCCCTCATCTCCGCCTACGGCAAGAACGGGCAGCTGGACCGGGCGCTGCAGATCTTCCAGGTGGGGGGGCACTGCTGGCGGTGCTGCTGCTGGGGTGTGTGTGAAAAGGTGTGGAGGTGAGAGGAGGGGCTGCAGGCTCCGCAGCTCTGTCTCCGCAGCTCGCCAGCAGGTGACCCCCTGGGCCGCCCCAGCCCGGGCCCCTCATCCCCTTCCCCCCACCCACCCCTCCCCCTGCCCCCCGCCCCTGCCCCGCAGGACATGGTGCGCCGCGGGTGCGAGCGCAACGTCATCACCTACTCCTCCCTCATCTCCGCCTGCGAGAAGGCGGGGCGGTGGGAGCTGGCGCTGGAGCTGTTCCGCGAGATGCACACCGAGGGGTGCCGCCCAAACGTGGTCACCTACAACTCCCTCATCGCCGCCTGCGCGCAGGGTGGGTGGCACGCCCCCTGTGCGGCACCGCCGCCGCCGCTGAATGTAGAGCACACTGGCTGCTTCTTCCCCTTTGCCGGCCTCCCAGCCTCATGCCCTCTGCCTCCGCCTCGCCCCTCCCTTTCCTGCCCCGCAGGCGCGCAGTGGGAGAAGGCTCAGGAGATGTTTGAGCAGATGCAGCACCGCGGGTGCAAGCCCGACGCGGTGACGTTTGGCGGGCTGATTGCGGCGTACGACCGCGCGGGGCACTGGCGCCGCGCCCTCACCGCCTTTGAGCAGATGAAGGCGCACAACTGCCGCCCCGACAGCGTCGTGTACAACACCATCGTGGGCGCGCTCTGGAAGACGGGGCTGGTGTGGGCGCAGGTGCGGTTGTAGACTTGGTGACGTGGGCGGCGGGCCCTGGCTCCAAGCCGCGGCCTGCCTGCGACCTCCTGCTGTAACCGCTTGCTGTTGCTTGTCCCCCGCCCCGAACCTGGGCTCATCCCGCTCCCCCTCTGACCTGCCCGGATCCACCTGCCCCGCCCCCGCCCTGCTCTGCCCTACCCTGCAGGCCAAGACATGCAGATCTTCACGCCGCCCTGCCGCCAGGAGCACTTCCGCCTCACGGTGCACACGCTAGATGCCGGCGCGGCCGCCGCCGCCACCGCCGCCGCGTGCGTGGCGCCCGCCTCGGCGCCGCCCTCCACCTCGCCCTCGCCTGCCCCGCTGGAGCTGCCCCCCTGCGCCCCCGCCTCCCACCCCGGCAGCGGCACCACCAGCGGCAGCGGCAGCCGCGCCGCCTCGCCCACCCCCGCCCTGCCCGTGCCGGCCGGCCTGTCGCTGGGCGGCGGCGGCGGCGGCCGCGGCGCCACCCCGGAGCTCCTGTCCCCCGCCTCCTGCACCACGCCCGTGCTGCCAGGCACCCCCGTGTCGGCCCTGCCCGCAGGAGCCTACCCGGGCGGCAGCCCCAGCCCCACAGGCAGCCCGCTGTCGGTGGAAGGCGGCCTGGCGGCGGCCGCAGCCGCCGCCGCCGCCGCCGCCGGCACCGGCGCGGGCACGGTCATCGAGTTTGGCATGCACGCCTTCACGGTCGGCTCCGCCGTGCTCAGCCTGCTGCGCTGGGTGGCGGAGCTGCGTGAGCGGCTGCCGCGGGAGCCCAACAAGGACCTCAAGCAGCAGGTGGGCGGGCGTGGTGGGAGCGCATGCGCGCGCGGGTGTTTGTGGCGGTGTGTGGCGGGGGTCAGCCGGCGGTACAGGCCTGGCTGGAGCCTGCTGTGTGGGCGCTTGCGCGGCCCTGCTGAGCCTGCCCTGCCTCCTCTCTCCCTCCCTGCCCCCGCGCCTGCCCGCCGCAGGTGTGCCTGGTTCTGAACAAGGGCAAGCCGAGCCGGGAGCACACGTACCCGGCCATCCGTGCCGCGCTGCTCAGCCTGCTGCGCGCCTGGCGCTCGCCCTTTGGGCTGGCCGACGTGCAGCAGGGCTGCCGCATACAGGCCACAGCCTGCGACATCACCGGTGGGTGCCCGGCAGCGGGGGGCGCCGCCTGCGCGCTCGGCCTCAGCTAGCCCCGTTGCGCCGCGGGCAACACGCGTGTGCCGCAGGCCCGGCAGGCATGCCCCCTCGCCCTGGATTGCCATACAGTCCTCCCCAGCACCCCCTTCTCCTGCTTCTCTACTTGACTTTTATTCTCTGCCCGCCCGCAGACTGGCTGCACACCCCCGAGGCCGACCGCGCCCTGGCCGCCTACAACTGCAAGGCGGAGGGCGCAGGGGGGCGCCCGCTGGACAAGGAGGCCTTCTTTGCGGAGGATGTGGGGGCCGAGGTGGGTGTGGGGGGCAGAGGATGGGGAGGGAGAAGCAATGGACTGCGCCGGGCCATGAGCAGCGGCACGGCACAATGAGCGGCAGCAGAGGCCTGTGTGCGCTGGCATGCGCCTCCCTTGCCCCCCGACCCTCGACCCGCCTGCACGCCCTGCCTCCCCCGCCACCCCCGCTGCCCGCAGGCGCGCTGCGCCGAGGCCTTTGCCGCCGTGCGCCACTTTGAGGGGCGGTACTGCGTGGCGGATGCCGCGCTGCCGCCCGCCTACCTGGCCGCCCGCCCCGACTGGTTCTCTACGGCTGCCACCTTTGCTGCCGCCTTCCGCCTGAAAGACGAGGTGCTGCACGACGCCATGCTGCTGCTGGACCGCGCGCTAGCGGCGGGCGGCGAGCAGCTGCTGGGCCTCAACGCCGCCGCGCTGCTGGTGGCCTGCCTCCTCATCTCCGCGCGCCAAGGTGAGCGCGGCCTGCCGAGCCCAACTCTGGGCTGCTGTCCCGCCAGCCTCCTGCCCCTGCCCCTCCTGCTTCCCGCCTGCCCACACCCCTCCTGCCCCTGCCCCCCGCGCCCCGCAGCCGGCGAGCACCCCGACCGCCTGCCCTCCCCGGCCCAGCTGGAGCAGGCCACGGGCCTGTCTGAGGCGGCTGTGGAGGCCACCCAGACCACGGTGTGCGCCATGCTGCAGGGAGACACCTCCGCCATCTCGGGTGAGCGCGGCGGGAGGGGAGGGAGGGAGTTTTTCAGTACACAGGGGAGGGCGGGGTTGTCAGGGCCCCAGCCCGCTCCCTGCGGCGCCTGCTTCGCTCCCCCCTGGCGCGCCCTATAGCCCGACGCGCCGCTGCCGCCCGTTTCAGTCGCCACCCTCACCACCAACGCTCCCCTGCCTCTTGTCCCCTTCCGCAGCGGTGCGCGTGCTCAAGCTGCTGCTGGAGCGTCTGGGCGCAGACTTCTCGCACGCCCAGGGCCTGCAGGCCACCGCCGGCCCCGCGCTGGCGGTGCTGGGGCGCGCCGCGAGCGAGCCCGCGCTGCGCGCGCTGCGCCCCTCGGCGCTGGCCGCCGCCGTGCTGCTGGCCAGCCGCAAGTCGGCAGGTGGGGGTGTGCCGCCGCCGGCCTGCTGTACGCCGCGCCCGCACGCTGCGCACGCTGGGCACGTCGGGCGCCGCCAGCGCACCCCACGCTTCGCGGCTTCCCCGCCGCCGCGCCCGCCGACCGCGCCCGCTGTCCCGCCCCCCCTGTCCCCCGCCCTGCAGGCGTGACGCCCTTCTGGCCCTCCGCCCTGCTGGCGCTGACTGGCTGCACCGATGCCCAGGGCTCCGAGCTGAGCGCCTCCTGCGACCAGGTGTCAGCAGCCATGGCCGCCAGCGGGCTGCCCAACTTTGGCTGAGCGGCCCCCCACCTCGCCCACTCGAGAGAGCGTTGCCCGCATGCATGCAAGCATGTGCGGCAGGCCGGCCCCTGCGGGCCGGCCCAAAGAAACAAGGAAAAACCAACCAGCATGTCAACAAGTGTGGAGCTGCCTCCATGCCGAGTTTTTGGTCCCAACACACCCACGCACGCGCACACACACACCTTGCCCAAATGGAGGCACACATTTTCTTCCGGTCCCGTGTTGCCCTTCCCGTCTTTCTTGCCCCCTGCCTTTTCCACATCTGGTCTACTTCCGGGCCCAGGCGCTGGCGCCTCCCCGCCCGCGTTTTTATCTGTTTTTTCCGATGCCTTGCTTCAGCCCAGGCGCTTCCGCAGTAGCGAGCAGCCCTATCACTCATTTGCATTTGACCACCAATTTGCTGCAGCCTCCTGGTGTGCTGCCAGCACCGCCCTCCTGCAGTTTTGAATCCCTCCCTGCTAACCACCACCGTGTCCTCTTATCCCATCCAACGAACGAACGAATGGTCCCCTCGATTGGTTTCAGGCGCGGGCGTGCGCCCCCCCCCTTGGGGTGTGCGCCGACCAACCCCCCCGCTGCCTCCCTTCCCCCGCCCCACCTCCCCTTTTAGGCGGGGTGGGGGGGGGGGTTGATGAATCCAGGCCCTTGCTTAACCACCTCATCCCTTAATCGCTTGCGCACTGATGTTGTTTGAGGCCCACCAGCATCGCAGCGCCAACCCCAGCTAACACCCACACCCACGTCCCGGGTGGGTGCCGCGCACTGTGCTGCCCCGCCCCACCCCCCCTGCACACCCCCACCCCGCGCTGAGTTGATGGCTGGCCCAGCGCCAGCCTTGCGTTTTGTTGTCCCTGCCGGGGGCCGCCCGCACCATGGCGGGCGCGCCCTCATGTGCCACCGGTTCTGTACCAAGGTGGTCCCGCCTGGTTCCAGTCCAGACCGGCCACCCGCACACTGCCCTGTCCCCCTGCCATTTTTTGCCCTGCTGTCGCGGGCGCACACCCACACCCAAGCAACATTTGTTAACTCTCACTCGTCATTCTTTGAACCCCCCCAGCCCGAGTGCGAAGTGTGATGGCCACCCCCCCCTAGGCCACTGCGTGTCCTCATCCCTCCCCAGTTTGTGAGTCTCTTCCTCTGAAGTTTTCCTCATTTCTCACACGATTTGATTTGCCGCCCCATGCCGCAAAGCCCCTTTATACGCCCGCTGCCCTTATCGCCTGGTGCCGCCAGTGCGGGCGCAGGCCGTCTGCAATAACGTATCTACGTCTTGATTTGAATAGCTGGCTGTAATTTGCGGCTTGCAAGGTGTTCACGGCATGCAGGCTGGTGCAGTGCAGAATGAAAGAAATGAAATGGATGCGACTGTTGCGAACATTTGTATGGGACTTTGCATGCCCAGATGGATGCGAGACCCCTAATGGCTGAAGCCTACTAGGAGGATGGGGTCGAGGTGCTCCGGCTGCTGCGATGTTAGCGCCATTCGCAGCATCAACGTGCCTGCCAGCCACAGCAGGCCACACACCAGCACTTGCCTGCAGGTGGGGGCGTGGCGGCAGCGGCAGGCGGCAGCGGAACCTGTGCAGCCAAAAGGGCCACTTCCTGCCGGCCCGAGGAGTCAATTGTTCATTCACAGCCGCACAGCAGGGAGGCCCGTGCTCACTGGTAGCACTGGCGCAGCTCCCAGTCGTCATCATCTGAGAGCGGCATGTGAATGTTTGACCTGTGGGTAATTGCCGGCCGTGATGTGCGATGGTTGTGGTAATTTGGTATGCCACTGCCGGATGCAAGTGCGAGTTCCCGAATTGCCTGGTCTTCACAAAAAAAATGCCGCCGCCAACCTGGCGCCGGCGGATACCGCCGGCATAGACTGTGGCCACATGCATTCGCTTGCGCTATTCGCGAATGAGCACGTCGGGATGCTGTCTCTGGTGGATGCCTGCCTGGGCAGACTGCCCAGCCCGGCGGCGGGTCCCTGCCGTCCGTTGCTGAGGCTTCTCAGCCCGGCGAGGACCAGCCGTGAAATTCCGTGTCGGCAGCAGCTGCTGCTGCTGCGTCCAGGAGCTGCTGCGGCACCCGGCCTGCGTGGGCAACATGCACATGCTGCTCTGGCGGCTGCCGCAGAGGACTTTTACGCTACAAACGCCGTCACATTTGGCGGCCTGGGCCTGACAGCCGAGGTCTGCGGCGCGCTGCAGCATGCAGGCTACCCCCGTCCGGCGCACGCGCAGGTGAGCGGCAGCGGCAGCAGCCGCGGGGCTGCTCCCCTTGCCGTCCTCCTGTCCTGCCTGCCGCAGCGCCTACCATGCGAGAGGACGCTGCTGATTCCTGCGCTGTGTGCCTGCAGGAGCTGGCGGTGCCTGCCATCCTGAGCGGCAGGGATGTTGTGCTGGCGGCTGAGACGGGGAGCGGCAAGACCCTCGCCTACCTGGCGCCCCTGGTCAGCCTGGCCCTGCGCAGCAGGCAGGCGGCGGCGG